ACCTCGCACTACCACGTCGCAACACATATTACTCGTATCGCAACTATGTCCGAAACTAACTCTCAACCCCCGGACACGAACATGGAGGTCAACGACGAACTAGACCAGACGGTCGACGACGAGATCAAGCAAGACGCGACACGACTGGAAACCGACGCTATGAACCTTGACGGCGCAAACGATGCAGAGCCCGCAGCGGTCAACGGCATGGCAGACTCTGCCGCCGCCTTCGAGGCGCGCATACCTGCGAAGAAGGACGCAACATTGCGCGAGTTCCTAGGCAAGATGGATGACTACGCGCCGATCGTATGCTAAATGCCGTCTCCATCCCAAGCATCGCGCACTAACCAGGCCTCCAGATACCCGATGCAGTGACCAACTATTACTTGACACGCGCCGGTCTGCCACCGCCACCTCAGACATCACAACACCTCGCACGTCTCCTTGCGCTCGCGACACAGAAGTTCATCGCCGACATCGCGGCCGACGCCTACCAGTTCTCTCGCATCAGGTCATCCAACACCACAAGTAATAACCCTATGGGTGGCGCAGGAGGAGCGCCGGCAGCAGCAGCGCCTGGTGGTGCGCCTGGCGGCAAGGATAGCGGCTCCAAGGCCAAGGACTACAACCTCGGCATCCAGCGCCCAGGATATGGAGGTGGAGGCCAGGGTGGCAATCAAGGACGCACCGTGCTTACTATGGAGGACTTGGGCATGGCAGTAGGCGAATACGGAGTCAACATCAAGCGCGGAGAGTTCTACCGCTAGGACCTTCAACCAACGGACAGGAACCCATGAAACTGGAACACGACGGGATGTGGTAATTCGGGACATCGACATGCATTTTAGGCGTTGGACGGCATCACAGGCGCAGGGACTGATCATTCGGAACGTGGAGGCATCCCGCCCAACGAAGGGCTCATCGTATGTGTACAATAGCAGTACAGAATGGCTTCTAGATAAACCAAAATGATACCCAAACTCCCATTTGATGCACATGCGTTCCATTGCTCATTTGTTCTTAGTCTGCTTGTACATGAACTGCTTCCGTGTCCTGGATTCAAAGTCAGCACTCCGTTGCTCATACTCTCCAACAAAGCCAGTGATTGTAGCAGACATACGGCGCGAATTCCCCAAGCTTTCGTCCTACCATATCCTCCGTTATGGTGATGTCCAGATAGCTCTTCCCGTTGTGTATCTGGAACTTGAGGCCGACAAAGTTCGGTAATATGGTAGCGGAGCGCGCTTGTGTCTTGATCGGTGGCATTCGTTCACCCGCCTTCTTCTGTGCTATCGGGAGGCTTCGAGATGATTAGGGCGCATTTCGCAGGGCTTGATAGTAGTGGCTTACGGGACGATATTGGGGCCTGTGAAAAAGTTAGTTTGCTAGTCATTGACAGACGAACATCGCTAGACGGTATCTCACCTTTCCAGACCGATCGAGCGCAGAGCGCCCGTGTGGGAAACATTGCGACGTTATGCGTGAATGATGAGGTCGGCGAATGTTTTCGACGGCTTCCGATGGCTTCAGGATGCACGTGAGAGCGCGGGGGACGCTAAGGGCTTGGCTTAGGCGGAAGCGCGTCGCGAATGGTGAGTGATTGCTCGCGATGCTCTGGCCTGCAGTGGCGTGTTTGCTGAGAACAGATATCTGCAGTGCCCCAGGGGAACTTTGAGTCACAGAATTGCCTCTGCCAGCATCACCAGTCGAGGAATCTTTGTCTCTTCCAATCAATCAACCGCCCACCATGCCGCCACGAGCACGCGGTCAGCAGCGAGGTACAAGCGAGCCTGAGATGAGACGGGAAGCATATGCTAATGGACGATACAGGCGCAGACACCATCCGGATACTCGTCGCCACAGATAGCCATGTCGGATACAACGAGCGCGACGCTGAGCGAAAAGACGACAGTTGGAGGACATTCCACGAGGTGATGTGCCTAGCGAAAGAGCACGATGTGGACATGGTACTACATGCGGGAGACCTTTTTCACGAGAACAAACCGTCGAGGAAGTCCATGTATCAGGTCATGCGATCGCTGCGTATGAATTGTCTCGGAGAGAAGCCATGCGAACTGGAGATGCTGAGCGATGCGAGCGAGAACTTCGGAGGCATGTTTGACCACGTCAACTACGAAGACGAAGATATCAATATCGCTATACCCGTATTTGCCATTCACGGCAACCACGATGACCCGTCAGGCGAAGGCTCATTTTCCCCGCTCGATCTACTACAGGCGTCTGGCTTTGTCAACTATTTCGGTCGTACCCCAGAAGTCGATAAGATCAATGTGAAGCCGGTGCTGCTCCAAAAGGGTGGCACAAAGCTTGCTCTCTACGGTCTCAGCAATGTTCGCGACGAGCGGTTGTTCCATACCTGGCGAGACGGTAATGTCAAATTCTTTCAACCTGGTACGCAAAAGGACGAGTGGTTCAACCTCATGAGTGTACATCAAAACCACCACGCGCATACACCTACCAGCTACCTTCCTGAGAACTTCCTACCCGATTTCATGGACCTTGTCGTGTGGGGCCACGAACACGAATGTCTGATTGACCCGCGATACAACCCCGAGATGGGTTTCCATGTCATGCAGCCTGGATCCTCCGTTGCTACCTCACTCATGCCTGGAGAAGCGGTCCCCAAGCATGTTTGCATTCTGAGCGTCACCGGCAAGGAATTCACAACTGAGAACATCCGCCTCAAGTCTGTGCGACCTTTCATCATGAAAGAAATCGTACTTGCGGAAGAGAGGGAGATCAAGGAGAAGGAACTTTGGCGCGTCAGCGATAACCGTGCAAAGATCACCCAGTATCTGAACCAGGTCATCGAGGAGCTAATCGAAGAAGCGAAGAGGGATTGGCTTGAACTACAGGAGGATCGACAAGAAGATGACGACGACCCTCCGAAACCGCTTGTTCGGCTTCGTGTCGAGTACACAGCTCCACAAGGAGGCGAGTTCCACTGTGAAAATCCGCAGCGCATCTCGAATCGGTTCATGGGCAAGGTCGCCAACATCAACGACATAGTACAGTTTCATCGGAAGAAGAAGGCAACAAACCGGGCGTTGAAGAATAATGCCGAGGAGCCGGATGCGGAGATACTTGCGGAGATCTCGATTGACTCAGTCAAGGTCGACAAGCTGGTGAAGGAGTTTCTTACGGCTCAGACTTTGACGATCTTACCACAGAATTCCTTCGGAGACGCAGTGTCGCAGTTTGTAGACAAAGACGACAAGCACGCCATGGAGCAGTTTGTGAAAGAGAGTCTCAGCACTCAGCTCAAGCACCTCATGGATGCCAATGACGTTGAAGAAGAGGAGATCGTCAAGGAGATGGCGGAGTACCGAGAACAACTAGAAGACATGTTCGCCTCAGGACAGTTGAAGAAGACCCGCAAGTCCAAGGTCAAGCCCAAGCCAGCTGGATGGGATAGCGACTTCGATGGGTCTTGGGTCGATCAGCCAGCCGCTATCATTAGGTCTGATAACGAAGGCGAGAAAGATGATGATGAGAGCTTAGCGTCCATACCGACAAAGAAAGCTGCCACCCGCGGACGCGGCAAGGCAGCTGGCACAACCCGCAAGCCGGCTGCGGCTACTAAGAAGGCAGCAGCCCCTAAGAAGGCCGCACCTGCGGCCAAGGGCGGGCGAGGCAAGAAGAAGGTCGTAGAAGAAGAAGAGTCCGACGAAGACGACGACGACGTAATCATGATCGACGACGATGATGACGAGGAAGTACCCGAAGAGGAAGAAGACGATGAAAGTGCCGAAGACCTCTTCGTAGCCTCGCAAAAGAAGAAAGCTCCCGCAAGGAAACCTGCAGTGAAGACAACAAAAGCTCCTGCGCGAGCCAAGTCACCGGCCAAGAAGACTACTACTGCGAGAGCGAAGGCGCCGGCAACTCAGACAAAGCTGAACTTCTCGCAGCCGCTCACGCAACGCAGTCAGCCCACGCGACCTGCGGCTTCGAGAGGAAAGAAGGCTGTGCAGGAGCCGGTAAGTGAAGATGATACTTGATGATGGGTTGACATTTGCTGATATGTGTGCAGAGTGATGATGAGATTGAGTCTGATGATGCTTTCGAGTCGGCGCCCCCTCCCAGTGCGAGGGCTACTCGTAGGCGGTAGATCATGCCATCGATATACAGATGACCAGCACCGTAACATCTGAGGGGAAGGGGTGTTGCAAAACGGCGTATTTGATCTAAGAGAGCATAGCGAAGGCGTCTAGGGTTTTTCAGCTAGGTATACCAGAGTTCAAGAGGAAATATGTCTAATCGTCTACATGTACGACAGTTGTAACGTGAAGAGTATCGTAAGAGTTTGCATGTTTTGAAAGAGCCATGCGACCTCTTCACTTCAAGTCTTCTTTCTCCTTGCATTAGGTGTTATGATGTCACGGTCGCACTTGTTCATGCCGGAGTCCAACACCGAGGTGTGTCGACCGCTCTTTCCTCAACTATCTCACCTGGCAGCTGCGCTTGTCCGCATCCCCACTTCTACAAATCTCACGATGCTTCTCTTCAACCCTTCCTACGCCGTCTTTTGGTCATCTCTTTCCTCAATGGCCAGCTCCGATCGATCATTCGACGAGAAGCCGCGACAGGATGCAGGCTATAACAACCTACCCAACACCGTCCTCCGTCCATCCCCTCAACACACACTCGTTTTGGTTCCATCTTCTTGTTCCGCCTGTTCTTCTTTCGCATTGCTGCACTTCGGCTTTTGGATAGCTGTCGCTCGCTTGTTCACATTGGCTCCCATCGATCAGCTTTGAGGTACGTCGTTGTCTTGCATATCCCCTATCACACGAGCATGCATCACCACATCAGTATGTGAGGTCGAGAACCAGCACTAACGGCGGCAGGATATTCGCATCACACCATCTCAGTCTTCTTCGTTTCTCCGGCTCGACATCTCATTGGCCCCGTAATACCAACGGCTCAATCAGGTCCGCGGCTCGTTGCCTTCGGTACACCTATAGGGTGACGGACCGGCCATGATGTCATTCGCATACAGGGTGGACGAACTGCTCGCACTTCGCGACTCGGTGTCGGAATCAGCTGTGTCGATTGAGAAGTTTCCTGATGAGGATGTGATCAGAGGTCAGTGCCGGCCCGGACCTATCCTCCTCACCCTTTCACTTTTCACCGTTCACCTTTCCTATCGAGGAACATCGTACCCGACGCGTCTTGTGTTTCCTTAACCTACTCACACCATACCCGACCGACTCTATCACACTCTTCTGTCGCTAGGCTCATAGCCTTGTTTTCTTCCTGCTACTGCTACACAACGAGCAGTGACTAATTGCGCTTCTCTTTAGAACACGTCCTTCGCCCGTCAGCGTCCGCATCGGCGAATCTGCCCAGCAGAGCATCAAACAGAAGCTTGCGTGTACCCATTCCAGCCAATCTTGTTCCTATCGGACCTCACAAACGGCCATCACCCACACCGTCAATCAAGCGCGGCAAGGCGGAGAAGCTTCTCAAAGAGCACGGCAGCCCACCTGGTATACGAGTCACTGCAGGCGGCCGTATAGTTCCTAGCGACCTTCCACCGCTCGGCACGTCCCGATACGGAGACGCTACTTACAGACCACCACAACCATCACTGCGCGTCGCACCAGGCAACGTCATGCAAGCACCAACTCACCAGAACCCCAACAACACCGCTCGCATTGAAGTCGTCGGAGGCCAACCTGTCATCTTCGTTGGCGATCGCATGTTTGCACTGCCAGCAGTCAACGCAACCAATCCTACGGTACCTCCCGTCGGCCCCGCTACTATGGATCCCATAGGCAAGCAGATGCCGGATCTGTCTACCATGACCACTCATGGAGCCCCATCGGGAGCCGCGTTCGGGCCATCGCGCTCCAACACCCATACACCGTTTGTTGGCTTGGACCTCGCGACTCTCAAGACGCAACAAGCTCTCAAGAAGCAGGAGCTCCGCACGGTAGAGCAGACTGAGGTACTGCAAGCAGGCCAGCAGAGCGAGACATGGCGTGCGGGTATGATCGAGAAGAAGCGGTGCCTCATCGTCGAGCTCGACGCACTTCGAAAGCAGATAACGGCGGTCGAGTCAGACAACAGCACCACTCAACATGGCGCCTTCTCCGGCGCGAATGCAGACCCAAGAGCCATGCCGCCTTTCGGACCGCAATTTCAGCAACCATTTGCTCCTCCCATGTACCCCTTCGCGGCGCCGTATCCGCCCATGCCGGTTTATCAACCCCAACCTCAGCCTTTTGGCCCGCTGTCCGCCTGCTCTGCGGAGCCACCACCTTTTGTTCCGGCCGCGACAAACCCGCCTCATTCCCCTCCAGGATCCGCCAGCCGCCGCTCTCGAGCTATTGAAATCAAGCCACCACCTCCCGAGGAAGTCAAGAAGGGATCTGCTCTAAACCCGAAGAGCCCTACATACGAGCCTGTCATAAAGACTAGTACCACCCAAGGCACTGTTCCGCCCACTCCGTCACCAGAGAAGCGCTCTCCTTGGCGAGGACAGCAAATGCCAGTGGCTGGTAAGCATGATCGCCGGATGTCTTCGCAGAAGCATAGTCTGTCTAGCGTTGACACCATGGACTTCTTCCCTATAAATACGCATGAGCATTCCTCAACACGAGTAGCGCCACAGATCAAGGAGACTGAGCAGTCATCCAATGAGAACACTGCAGTACCATCTACACCCGAGAAACACTGGCCAGCTAGTCCATGGAACGAGGGCGATTCTGGCCGCTCTAGGACTAATGATCCTGCACCCAAGCTCACCTCGTGGCCTGAGGCATTTGGTAAACAACCTTCTCTGCCTTCCATACGTCAAGGCCTTTCGGAGCAACCTCAATCCACTATGATAGACCACGCTCCTACAATGGGCCCTAACATGTCACTCTCCGCTTCTAGCAGCAACATGGCGCCGCGAACCAGCTCCAGTCAACGCACCGGCACCGACGAGAATTGGCCCTTCAACGGCAAGCCTGTAACACATGTTCCGTCTACATACCAGGAAGGCTACCAGGCCGGCTACGACCACGTTGGCATTCCTGACAGTCCCGAGGTTCTACAAGGCTACATCCAGGGTCTTCTGCACTTCCTCACAGACGAGTCGAAGAAGCGTCAAGCTGAGTATCGACGTGGTACTGACTCCAGGACGCCTTCGCTTCGAGGGCTTGTTGCCGGGTCCCTACCTCACGACTCTGCTGTCGAGATGACTTTCAACCACAACGCAAGCGGAGCCCAGGAGAACGTTCGATCAGCGAAGGGTAGTATCCCAGATGATATGCGCCGCGACTCAGGGTATGGCCAACAAGGAAATGTTAAGGATGTTCCCGTTCAGTACATGGTTCGTAACGAAGCCATGCAAATTCCCAATCGTGTCGCCTCTGCCGCGCAGTATCTGAACCCTCCAGTCATGTTTCCTCAGAGGATGACGTCTGGATATCGACAAGTATTCCCAAGCGTCGAGGATGATGCGAGCCGGGGCATGCAGGACAAGGGTATCGCGTCCCGGGTAGACACCATGCCAAACGGCGGCATGTCCAACCAGTCTTTCGGCAATCAGATCCAGAATCGAAGCTACAGTACCGCGCTCAGCATGCAACGCTTCTACCCGACGCCGAAGGAGTTGAGCCCAAGCGAGATTGGTGGCTACGGCGCGCCTGCTCCTCGACACTTTACCAATCAGCGCTTGTCGGGGCTCGATGGCGCCATGGACGACTTGTCGGAGATGATCAACGATACGCACCTTGAGGAGCGTCGTTCGTCTGTTGCGGTAGACAGCCGCTCTACCGAAGCACCCATGTCTGTGGAGTACGAGGAGAGCAACGCAAGCTGCTTCGGGGTATCCAGCAGCAAAGGCAAGCAGAAGGCGCCATCTTCTCCCGCGAAAGCATCAGATGTCGAGCGTGGCACCGCAGCATCTTCACCTGCCAATCCACCGAGCTCCCCCAAGAAGTCCGGAGAGCATTCGCCTGCAAAGGCCAAGCTCGAGCAGGTGACGAACAAGTTCCGGCGCAGCAAGAAGGACGACCCTCGAACCATGTCTCCCGACGAGAGGCAGAAACGTTCAGACAAGTGGCGACAGCGCTTTCAGCAACTCAAGAGGACCGAGATCGATGAGATAGAGGCGCATCGTAGGAACTCGCGCACCTGATTGCTCATCGTGCGTTGTCGGGTTGTCCGCGTCAGACGGCCTGGTATGCTGGTTGGATACGTCTTCGGACTCGTTAGGACTTGGTATGATACACCCTCTTGACTCTCTTCTCTGTCGCAGAACGTATCCTTGGATTCGGCCGAGGATTACATCACCCTCATCGAGTACGCGACACGTCCGACATCTTCTCTTAACGGCAACATTTTCCACGTCCACGAACTTCCTCGAACAACTTTCCACTGCGGCACAGCAATAATTACGGCAGCCCACGCATATCTCCGACAGTCTTCCTTCAATATTTCTTTTGACATTGGTGGACTGGCAGAACACGGCAAGGGACGTGTCATGGACGGAGACGAGTCATCTGGCCAGCCATCCACGTCTTATCTCCTTTCCGTCAGCATCTTGCGTATAACTTCAGCCATTGTATGAATAGGTAGTCAGTATAGTCATCCGTTGCGTAGTAGAATAATGATAATAATAAAAGCGTGTCTTGTAATCAGTGTCCCTTCTTTGCAGTCATCTGGTGGGCATTGTCGGAGTGAGCTGACGAGATGAACCGCGCACGGCCGATGTGTCGGAGTGACGGATAGGGTCCGAAAGCCACGCTATGCCGAAACGAGAAATGGTTCTAGAACAGATTGGCGTCCGAGGCCGTCGTCAGTGGACGAAACAGCGGAAACATGCGCGTCGCCATCACCAGCATCCGACACACAGCTACGTCAAGCATGTGTGTATGCGTCTATCTAATATTAATGGTATGCAATGGCATGGGCATAGTTCAAGAATCACGATGGATGCATGTGTCTCGGAGTCGCACAGCCGTGTTTGGTGCGATGACGTGCCGTTATGCTTTGCGCGTTGCTGATAAATCGGGAAATAGCGTGATTTATCGACAGCTGCGGTCTGGTCGTGGGGAAAAGAGGCACGGTGCTAGAACGGTTAGATGGGTGCGCGTTCTTGGCTGGGAGCGCGGCACAGGGTTCGGATGGCGGGTAGGGACCATCACGACACCAGGGCGCAATTGTCACAGGATATGGATTTCCAAGCATTGCAAACCCATGCTTTGATGTTTGAGTGGTGGCTGAGTGATTGGTGATGGATGCGGTGTCGGTTTGGCTGGCTGGCTGGAGTGAGGCTAGGTGGCTTCGCACGCGGCTTCCCTAGGTAGACAGGGATTCGGGCGGTCCCACTTGGCCTCAGCCATCATTCGCCGCAGTCCGTACTTGTCGCCGGCACGGCTCTGGCTTCCTTCCTTCCCAACCTGCTGGCTGGCCCTACTACACCACCACTACTCCTCGCTCCCTGCTCCCGACTCCTCCCTGCTTGTCTCTGCAGCGCCGCCAACCCCATTCACGCGCACTCCCCTCTCCCACCGCCTGCGCCTTCGTGACGGAGCCATTCTTTCACCGAGCCGCCCCAGCCACACGCACCGCGACCCTGGACATTGCCCTCACCCAAAGTGACATGGCCCATTGATCGTGCAACTGCGCAAACACCGTCTCCCTGCACCCGCCCAGCTTCCGCCCAATACACCAGAGTCGCCCGCTGCACTCGCCCACCGGCCTGTGCAACTGCTATGACGCAGCTCTTCAACTCGTCCACATCCAGCCACTCCACCATGGCCGAAAAGACGGAGAAACGCACCTTCTCGGGCAAGGCGCTGTCCACCAACAAGTCAGTCAATCCAAAGGACGGCCAGGTCTCGCAGCGCATCAAGAACTTTTTCCGCATCAACAGCAGCAACGACGCCAACAAGTCTTCCGACGATGGCAGCACAAACTCCAAGAACGAAAAGTCGGGGTTCCGCCAATCGAGGTTCATTCCCCACATCTCGCGCAATCGCTCCCAGACCGTCGCCAGCGAAGGCAACCCCCTGGATGACAGCGTGTCGCCGACCGCGCACGCAAACCCGTACTTTGCCCACCAAGGACCGCCCGCGCTGCGTCATCACAATGCAGGCAGCGTGCCTCCATCACCCCCAGACACCCCCGCAATGCCCAAGACGCAAGTAAATGGCGCAGCAACTACCGACGATCACGCCACAACAGCTGGGAAAGAGGAATTGGCTAGGAAACTACGAAGGGTGGCTTCCGCACCCAATGCCCAAGGTCTCTTTTCTTCGGGAAAGAATACTGATAGGCCACAGACTGCAGAACTCGGCAAGCAGCCTGTATTACACCACCCCAACTCGTCGACCTTGAGCATGGTCGAGACGAATACCCAGGATCCGACTCACCTGCTACCCATAGAAGCTGGCAAACCCATACCCTCGGCAGGCCAGATCCGACAGTCTGTGGCTTTCAGGAGAACTTACAGCTCGAATTCCATCAAGGTCCGCAACGTCGAGGTTGGACCGGGAAGCTTCGACAAGATCAAGTTGATTGGCAAGGGCGATGTCGGAAAGGTCTACTTGGTGCGGGAGAAGAAGTCTAGCAGACTATATGCTATGAAGGGTGTGTGGATCGCATCTACAATTCAGACAACATGCGCTAACAAATTCAGTGTTGAGCAAAAAGGAGATGATCAAGCGAAACAAGATCAAGCGCGCATTGGCTGAGCAGGAAATTCTGGCGACCAGCAACCACCCCTTTATTGTTACTCTCTACCACTCTTTCCAGTCCGAAGACCACCTCTACCTCTGCATGGAATACTGCAGTGGTGGTGAGTTCTTCCGCGCGCTTCAAACACGACCAAACAAGTGTGTTGACGAGGATGCTGCGCGATTCTACGCAGCTGAAGTCACGGCTGCGTTGGAATACCTCCACTTGATGGGCTTCATCTACCGAGATTTGAAGCCAGAGAGTATGTTAGACCTCGCGTTCTACGCAGCCCTGTACTAACAACCTTAGACATTCTCCTCCATCAGTCTGGGCACATCATGTTGTCAGACTTCGACCTGTCGAAACAGTCGGAACCCGGCGGTCGCCCGACCATGATCCTCAGCGGCCGAAGTGGTACTTCCTCGAACAACCTACCAACCATCGACACGAAATCATGCATAAACAATTTCCGAACCAACTCGTTTGTCGGAACCGAGGAATACATTGCGCCAGAAGTCATCAAGGGCTGTGGACATACGAGTGCGGTCGATTGGTGGACCCTTGGCATATTGATCTACGAGATGTTGTACGGAACTACGCCTTTCAAGGGCAAGAACCGCAACGCGACGTTTGCCAACATTCTTCGAGATGAAGTGCCCTTCCCCGAGGGTTCTGGTGCGCCGCAAGTGTCAAAGTAAGTCCTAATTAGTACCTAATATGTGTCTTGTACTAACAACCATAGTCTCTGCAAGGCCATCATTCGCAAGCTATTGATCAAGGACGAGACTAGGCGACTTGGATCCCGTGCCGGCGCTTCCGACATCAAGACCGCACCTTTCTTCAAGACGACATCATGGGCCCTACTACGGCACATGAAGCCACCGATCGTCCCTCACCAAGGCCAAGGTGTCGAGACACCCAACTTCCGGAATGTTAAGGAGTCCCAGAGTGTTGATATTGGAGCCGCGAGGGTCAAGGGCGTCCCGCTAGACTCTGGTCTCGCTACGCCGATGGGCGAGTTGGCAGATCCGTTTGAGGAGTTCAACAGCGTTACTCTGCATCACGACGGAGACGACCACCACCATGAAGATCAACACTCGTCGCATCTTCACCTCACACAAACCAACTCACAACGATAGACCAGGCGTTAATCCGTATGATAAACACGCGCACTGTATTCATCACTCACCAGAGGACCTCGTATATCGGAAAGTCGTCCTCTTGACTCCACTCATTTGTTGCGACGGATCATAGACAAATGCGTTTCTTCCTCATCACAGCGGCGTTTCAGGGAGTTCCATTCTAGCTTTCTTCGTTTCTTGATCGCGCAGGGATCTCTCTCTCTCGAGCTCGTTTTTGTTCTCTCTTACCAATCAGCATTTTCGTGTGCTGTAAAATCTCTCTCGGGCGTTGTCTATATTTTTTTGTTGTGAACATGGTTGTGGGTCATGCTGGTCTAGTGTAGTCTAGTCTGAGAGCGGAGGCAGCTTGGACAGGGAAGATGGTGATGGTGGTGGTGATGGGTCGAGGGAATAGGGAAGAGGGATGGATGGTACTGGGAGGGCGTAGCAGAAGCAATGAGAAAGATATCTTTGAGATGCTAACTGTGCTGTGTGATGTGATAGTGAAATTAATGTGATGTGCTGTCATGTTTCGAAACTTCTAGTTGAGCACCCGTAGTTAATGACAGAGTGATCGAGGGTAAGAAACGCATGGGCCAACGCGGAGTTTGCGGGGAAGACGCGACAACGATTCGCGAGAACCCTTGTTTCCTGCCAAACAACGCGACGAAACAAGGACGCACGCTACGCAACTACCTCGAATAACATCGGCAACGCCCAGCCCATACGACGTCGGACTCGGAAGGTCGTATACCGGGATTCATTCTTTAGCAAGGGACACATCATAGCACAATCCAATCCACGCACGACCACGCATCCAGCGCAAAGCAATTCACCCCGCCGCCGCACGATCTCCCACGCTCGCTCGCCGTCTCTTACTGTACATCCACGCGCGGATATAGATACAAGACTTCCTACCTACCTACCTACCTACCTACCCACACAACCACCCCAGCTCTATACCAATTCTACACAACCTTGGAACCAAAAAGAGGAAAATCAGACCATGGCCTCAGAACCCGCAGCAGCATCCAGCGGCGCAGAACAAAATTTCGGCGCCTCGCAAACCTCGGAAGGAGAAGAAAGTCTCAGTCCGCTTGAACAGGAGGTCTTGGATGAATATGCGAGGTTATTGGGGAATCTGAATAATGTTAGTTTACCTCTATCCGTCGCAATCCAAAACCCTCCCTCGTCCCCTCCTAAACCTCCGCACTTCCTCACTAACACCACACCAAGTTATCATCCCTCCTCCTCACGCTCTCCAACAACCCCAGCGCCGCGATCCTCGATGGCCTGCGCGGTTTAGAAAGGAAAACAAGTTTGGTGTTTACGTTGC